GTTGAAACCACACGATGTATTTTTTAAAAAATCCCACCAGGGAAATACTGGAAATCCTACCAGTACTACGTGATTGTCAGAGGCCAGCTTGCAGTGGTTCATATGAGCAATCTCTATATATGTGTGTGTGTGATCCTTGGAGAGGGGGGGAAGAAAAGGGAGGAGTAATTAGGAAAAGCAAAAGGGGTAAAAATAAAGGCACAGCAGGATATCAGCTATTGTCCTCTAGAAATTGTGAGGTTCAGTTTAAATACCACCTAGGTCCTTGAAGTGTCTTTTTGTGTATGATCACAACAAGTAGCTGAGGTTTTGTCCTATGAATTGCTGCTGAATACTTTGGCCCTTCACATAATTAATCCATAGATAAAATTAGAAGCTGGCACCATTTTTTAGCCTATGCTCCTAAAAATACATTGCATTGATCCTCTTTCTGTGCTTTGGCATACATGGAAGCAGAAAAAGAGTGGGAAGCTATCGAAACTGAGGCATAACAACATTTTCTGAAGTTGGACTTCTTCTGTGGCAATCAGCTGTGCAGCTCTTAAGGAGGCCTGGAAAAAAAAGAGATTTGAAATAGGAGTTTTGTGTGGTGCAATGTGTAAGAGCAGCTCCACAGACATTATTTGTCCTTCAGAAATGGAAACAGTTATCTGAGAAATCTGCTGACTTTTGTGTGGCATTTGCGTTTTCATATTGCTGTGGTAAATTCAGAAAGTTACAAACAGCCTCTGTGGTCACAGGAATGAAGAGCCAATTTGCAGGCATTCTCAGCTCTGCTCAATTTTGTGATGCAATGGAGAAGGTGGAAAATGTTATTAATTGAATCCTAATCTTCTCTTCATTTACGTAGCATGCGTTTTACCTAATACAACTACATAGCTCATCTACAGGCTTGAAAATTGAAAATTCGAGCGAGAAGGATGCTTTTGATGTCATTCCCATAAAAGTTGTTGCTTGCTACATTTGAAGAGAAGAAAGCTACTGTACATGCTATTTAATTGAAACCTTATGGAGTAACATCTAGGACCTGGATCATGACTAGATGATCATTGCAAAAACAGCTGTTTCCCCTCCCACCAGTTGTGCCCAATGCTGTTTGTCACTCACCCTCTGCCAGACTTTGGCATTCCCCTAGCATAGCAACAGAACAGTTTGTCTGAACGCTCTTCTTGTGATTCAGTGCAAAGTCCAAAAAAATGGTTCAGTGTTTTGTGGTGCCTGACTTACTGCTTAAGCAGACAAGGTTCATTTGCATGGCCTACAGTACCTGTTCTGCTCGAGGGTGATAAGAAGCAGCTGGAGAGGGAGAGAAGGAGGGTACAGAAGTTTTGTTAATAATTCTCTGAACGCAGTCCATTGATAAATTGTTTAATTGTTAGGCAAAAGACTTCTGGATCCATCTATGGTAGTGGTAGATGCTTTTATATTCTGTTTCTCATTGGTACCCTCTTACCATATTGGTCTGTTGAAAGAGCACTCATGCAGGCATGCTTCTGGAGTTTAAGCAAACGTAGCCAAATTGCAGTAGTTGCAACGTTTTAAACTTCAACTGGACTGGTGTTACGCTTTGCACAGATACGGAAAAACTTACATGAACTCCTCTGCAGACAGACCAGTGAGGGCAATTCAGAGTTATTTCCTGGATGAGCTGAATTTCAAACAGACTTAAGAGTTGGTGCAGATACAAGTTTGAACCAGTGGTGGTTTACTAACACAACTCTCTTCATGATATTCTGCTTTTATTTATAGTAGTTGAAACACGTTCCTGAAAACAAAATCTGAAGTCGTAAGTTTAAACTGACTGTCCATATATTGTTCCCATATATTATTTTGCTTCATGGGGAACAAAGTCAGTAAATACCAAACTGAATCAGTAACTACCACTTGATAAGTAATAAGCCAATGGAATTTCATTTAAGTACCAGGTTTATTTAGTTTTAAATAGAGTTTCCAGCTGGGTGGTCAAATAACAAGACAAAGGTAGAAAATATTTATTCAACCTTACTGTTATTTTTTTGTAACTATTTGATAAATTATCAAATACCACAAAAATAGCTTTTGACTGAATGATTTGACTAAGACCAGGTAATTATACTAACATTTTAAGTAAATGTTATTTATGTAGCCCTGATACCTGGATGTTTTCTGTTGTCCCTGCTTCGCTTTCTTCATTTTATTTTTTTCTTTCCTACAGGAGAATATAGCATATACCTCTGCATTATTTTCAGCTCCTTTCTCTTTTCACCTCCTATCTCTTTCCTTTTCTCCCCACTCTTCACCTCCACCCCTGCATCTTCTGTTTCTCCTTTCTTCTGCCACTTCTTGATTCTGTCTGTGTACTGAACTTCTCTTTTCAAATTCATCTTATCAGTGTCTCTCTCTCTGCCTCACATGACCATCACTCACCCACTCAAACCAGAGCATCTGTGCACAGTCTTGGAAACATTGAGGTACTTAAAACCTAGAGAGCTACTGTATTGGCATGAATATAAGGCAGGAAAAAAACTATCCATGAGGCATATATTAGAGTAGCCCCGGTCTGGCCTTGCAACCTGTATTGCATCAGCTCTGCACGCTCCCTGACAGTGCATTTTCTGCTTGCCAGGCTCATCTCTGTTCAAGCATTATAGGTGAAGCTCTTTGTTACCTGGGGCTTGGCCCAGTCCTGCTGCCTGTGCCCACCAGCCTGCCTGCCAGCTCCCTGGCTTGCTGCAGGTGCTTCAGCTGCCTTCAGCCACCAGAAACCCTCCCCGGGGCTCTGGAAAGGGAAACAGAATGTCCATAATTGAAACACAGTCTTTTAAAACAAAGACAAGCTATCTTTTCTAAGCCTTTTCTGTAAAAACAGATAGATAAATATCTCTATATTTTACTTAGGCTAATATGGTAAAAATTATGGCTTCAGATTAATCAATGCAAAACAAGTACATTTTTCTCAGCATCGAGTATCAATACGGTCTATTGAGTTGTTGGATAAAGGACAAGTGTTAAAAATCCCGCCACGCTGTTCAAAGATCTGAGTTTTTTTCCATGTAATGACTTTGAGGACTGTGCTACTCTTCCAAAACAAGTTCCTGTTTCAGACTTCCTCTTTTTCAGGTTTTATTTTGTATAGGTCATAAAGGATTTCTGATGCAGGCTTCCTTAACTGTTTTTTTTCTATAGCTTTCCACTTACAAAAACTATAAGTTGATTTCTCTGCACAAACAATGCCTTTGATGCATCATGTAAGCTGTTTTTTATGGCAGTCATATTTTGCCATGCAAGACAAAATGAAAACCTAAATTACTTTGTATCTTTCAGCTGGTTCCATAAGACTTCTATTGCAAAATCATGGATAGATGGATCATTTCAGTTCTCTGAATAAGTTATGTAATTGAGAAAGTTAATTTCATTTCAGAATTAAAACCTAATGAGTGGCTAAAAGCTTCTATCTATAAAATACATGATTGTTATTTGAACAAGGCAATGTTGGTATGAATTAACGGATGATGTTAACAGACTATAAATAATTTTGTTTAGAAATTAAATGTTACTTTAACTAAAATGTAGAAGCTTGCATTTGGCAAAATGATCCGATGCCATAGCAACGGATGACAATTACAAGCAGCTTTTCAGCAGTTGCCCACATTCCTTCTCCCCCCTACCCCAGCCTATCCATATCCATGGTGCAAGAGATGAATTCTGACCTCTGTTTTCTAACCTTCCTTGAAACAAACATACCCGCTTCTTGCAAAGTAAGAAGCTCCAGTTCTACATCACCTGAACAAAACCAGAAGTAAATCCATGCAGTGGACATGTACTGTTATTGGAAGATTAGTTTTGCCTCAGAGTGTATTTCAGATCAGAGTGACATAATATGACAGTATATTTATGGATTATATTTTAATTTGAAATAATTTGCTGTATCTTTTTTTTAGATTCAACCATAGATTGATGTAGTCAGTAAGTTTTTAACAGTTTAAATGCTGTTTAAAAAAAAAAAGACACTAAATGAATTAAGCCAAATACAGCTGTCAAAACTGAAATAGGTTGCAAAAGAATGCATTTAGCTGAAGATACCACAGTGTACTTCTGTTTTTACTTTAATTTCAACTTGAGACATAAGTCTAGGAAACAGAATACCCATTTTCGTTTTTAATTTGCAGCCAACTGTTGCTTTATTTGCCCAGTGTTGAGATACTTTTTTTCATAACGTGTTTGTAGTCTTATGTATCATGCATCTTTTGTGGTACTTTTTATTCCAATACCAGAGAAACAAGTATACAAGAAAATTGTAGCAGTACAAATTCTGTTGTACCCTCCGTCTGCACTGACTCTACCAATGGAAATTTGTTTCTGAGTTCTCACCTTTTTATCATAGGTCTTGGGAGCTGTTGCAGCAGTTCTAAATTAGGATTTTCATTGTCTCCGCTAATTCAGATGTTGCTGGATTTTGCTGACCTTGGTCCTGTTGAGTGGCTTCAGTGCTAGCTCCAAAAAATGTGCTACATCCAACTTCTCTCTAAAAGTATAAAACCAAGAAGCATTTAACTCCTTAATAATTTAAGGACAAGTCTACTGGAACCATAAAATGTGAAATGTGTTGTGTATGCTTTAACTTCCTAATTAAAGAAGCAATAATTGAAGTCTTAAAAGAATCAACTGAAATCTAATGTTACACACTTGAGCTATGTTGTAGTCTTGTAATTTCCAGCACTATTTGCAGAATTATTCACATACTTTTCCTCTAATCAGTCTGTAATTACCATGTGGTATAATTAGATTAATGTACTTTCATTTATTTGCAGCTCCCATTAGAGGAAAATTTTGTACTTCTGCCTTTATATTTGTCCTATATGAATGACTACAGAATTCTGTACTTTCATTAAAGTGGCCTCAGCTTTCTTAGGTGAAGAACAATCAATTTAATGATGCAAGGAAACTCTCATTCTCTTTATAAGTTTTTCCAGTGCTTAGCATTTTTTTTTCCCCCCTCTTTTTTCTTCTTAGGTGATGAGTACCAATGGAAGGGGCCCTTCTACTTCATCCAAGGAGCAGATCCTCAGTTTGGACTGATGAAAGCATGGGCAGTTGGAGACACTAACAATGGAGATGATGAATGGGGAGAAGAAATCAAATTAGCAGAGCAAGCAGTGCAGGCCATTAACAAACTAAACCCTAAACCCAAGTTCTTTGTGTTGTGTGGAGATCTTATCCATGGAATGCCAGGTAAGGCAAATAAGGTGTAGAACGGCAATCGTAATTCCATTTTCTTTATATTTAAGATTGGCAACAAGACTAATGTAATTTCCTTACTTCATAATATCCTTTCATAGAGTTTGGTATGCTACTGTTATGTGTGTGGGCAAAAAAGTGTCCTTTGTAGACAATTCTTGAGACATTACTCTGATTTCTTTATCTGACTTTCTGTATCCTTCATTTTAGGAGTGTACTTTTGTTAGTTGCTTTTTTTTCAGTGGGCCTGAGGAAGTTTTCTTTGAGATAAAAATCCTAAGAAGACACATTAAAATTATTTCTTCTAAACAAATTGCTTTGAGAAGACAAATAGAGACTCTAGCCATTGGGGAAAAAAAAAAAAACAAGAAAAGAACAAAGAACAGCTCTAGCTTTTTGAGTACCTATAGTGGGTGAAGCTCAGAGAATTTTCTGGCTTCCTAATGCTTAATAAATTCAACTACTTCAATATTTAAATTCTTAAAATGCTGAAAGTCAGCAAATTCAAGTTTTAGCATTCTGTCCTGTTGCTGTGGGACTCGGGGATCAGCATGGTTTGGTGTCTAGTCAGAGGAAGAGCAACAGACTATCTAGAAAGGTGGGTTATAAAGTTTGACAGTTGTAAGTTTAAAACAGACTAGTAATATTTTCTATTTTAATAAGATAAATACTCTTCTTGAAAGTGAATGAGAAAATGATGTTACCAGTTGACAAGTGATCTCAAAAGCAGATATAAGCACAAAAGTTTATGTTTCTTAGCCTTGCTAAGAAGCAGAGCTATACACAGCTACGTAGCTGACAGCACAGTCCACCGAGTGAGCTTGCAAATAGTCCTGTGTGCTTTGTGCTGTGCTCTGCTTTGCACTCCACTTGCACCTGATGTGGTGTTTCTCAGCTCGTGTTTTCACAGGAAGATCTTGAGCATGTTAGTTCACAATTCCTTCAGTGTCCCACAAAGTGCATATTAAAACCTTAGCTGTCAAATTGATGAACATTGTTTATAGGCTACAGACTTTCTTTTCACCAGAACACAAATTTAGTGATAGAGTGGGAAAGTGTAGAAACCAACAGATTTAAGCTTGCTAGAATCTACTTTGTAAAACCCTAGTAGCTTGATTGTAATGTAAAGTCTGCTAGCATGCAGTTGTTTTATTGGTTTATGTTCTTCCATTAATTTTGGAGGTACAGGTTTGACACAGAATCATAAAATAATCTCTTCCTAAGAATCATCTGGCCTTCCTATGTCAGAGTTTTCATAAGGATTTCAATTAGGACTTTTAATTTCTGTAAGTGTTCAAATATATTATCTTTGGTATCCCTTGTAAGAGGAAGAAAATTTAGGACAAATAATGGGTGTCCTACATCCTCTTGAAAAGGATCTTTCACTCTCAAATTTAAATAATCCAGGAAGCTAAGTTAATTTCATTTTACCTGGGTATTTCTCAAAGGCTCATAAATCAATGCCGAGTTCTGAGTACATATATTGACTTTAAACAAGATTATTTTCTGTTGATAGAAAGTGCCAACTACTGAAAGCCAGCAATCTTTTGACTTCTACTGGGTACTGAATGGCTACATGCAATAAATAGGTCTTGTGTGTGGCAGGTTTTATGTTTCTTTCTAATAATGGATCTTTGTAGTCATTATTATGTCTTTTACTGGCGTATGTCTCAGACTTTGGTAATATTTTTAATGCAAACCTCTCACAGTTTTGCAAAACATTATCATATATTCATTTTGCTAAAAAACGTGTAAAAGAAACTGAGGGCATTGTACTGCTGAGATCACTTACATGGTGTGAAGTATGTACTGTGGATTGTATAAATATTTGAAGCTGCCTAGTGCAATTTCCAAGAAACCGTGCAGAAGAGCAGTTCACTACTTGATGATCTTAAGGGTCTTTTCCAGCCTAAATGATTCTATGATTACCTCACTTGAGCCACCATATTTTAATTCATCTAATAATTTCTTGTTGATAGAAATTATGTTCTTTAATACTTTATAAGTCTGTGTTGTTACATAGTTATATAAAATACTTAAGGAAATGCACTACTAAAAGGAATTTTAGAATATTCAGCTGGAAAAATTACTGATTTAATTATTGCTTTTGTATTTATGCAAATGGCTTGCTGTGCTGTGAGTTGGTAAACATCTAAGCACAATTTAATAATTAAATTGTACATATAAGTACAATTTTACAGTCAGCCATTTGTCTTTCTGTCTAAACTGATGAGGAAGATAAAAGTGAATCGCTCTGCGGTGCAGATACCTGTGGATCAGCACGCTTTGACTAGTTGCCTGGGAGGGCAGGGAGATGTGTGATACTGCAGAGAGACAGAAATGCAGAGTCAGAAAAATACTTCATACAAGATAAATCTAAATTTGTGTGTTTAAAAGAATTTGAAACACTTTAAGCTATACGAATGTATATTTTGCAAGTGAAATAATAGGATTTTCAGAAGATTTTTTCCTACTTTTTCATCTCACTTATCTAGCTTCTGGAATAGAAACTCCTTTAAATCACAAAAAAGAGTTAAACTGAAAGAAAATATATTTTAAAGCAAGACAACTCGTATCCTGTTTTAAAACTGTCTTATCAAGATGTTTACTGACAATTTCTTTGATTTGGCTTGTTAATAGCTGTTACTGTATGAGATATTGCAAGACACTGGCATTAAGAAGCCAAGATATTGGCCTTATAAAAACTTATCTGCTGCATATTCTTTTATCAAAATAGAAATCCTCTGATGTTAGAAATGAAAACTTCCACATTCCTTGCGATGAAAGTTTTTGGAAAACTTGGAAGTACTGCAGTCGCATTCTGAAGTTTTCTGCCACATTCCTATGCTAAACTGTAGGGATTGAGGTGACTTTCTTCTTACAGAGGAATGAATTCTTAAATTTCTTCTCTTACACGGGTATGTGTTTGAACCGCTAGTGTATTTCTGCACGAGTTACAACTCAGATAAAAAGCAGGAGCCATTATATTCCACTGTCATATGGCACAAGTTTCTTTCCGTTAATTTCAGTACTAATACTGTGCTTGAGATGGTTGCTTGTGTCAGCAACTGATTAAACTCTTTAAAAAATTTTAGAAAGAGTTCTATTTCAAAATTATAAGAGTGATATCAAAATTTGCCAACACTTTCATTATTTGTTACAAAATTTGAAATTGTAAGAAGTTTTTCAGCAAGATAACATTAATGAAAAAGAGCAAACGGAATTTAAGAATTTTTATTGCAAATACCTTTTCAGATAATTCGAACGTATAAATGTTTGCAGAATTGAAGACCAGTAGTAATATTTTTTTTCCTGGAGTAACTTAAGTATTTTCACTCTTCTAGCCAAGGATGTTTAGACCCATGTAATGCATATCTGTAGTAGAATGGTACTGCAGTCATTTCATACTTCTCCACTGAGGAGTCTCTCCAAGAATAATTGCTATATTAATTCCCTTATCATGTTAGTTCAATAAAATGAAGGATTAAAAATTCATTTTTTCAGTAGGCAAAAATCAGAAATGACATGAGACAAGACATTGATTTAAGTTTAACAATTGTGAATTTGGCTTGCACATGTATCTTATTTAATGCCTCAAATTGCCTTTTAAATCACTTGTGTATATCAGCTATATTAAAATTGAAAACATCAGCATTAATGAAAGTGTGCCACAGTTGCTATTGCAGCATGATTGTTGAAGAAAGCTATGATCAGCTGAAGTTCAGCTATATTTTATGATCCGTTGGGCAACGTCTATCAAATTCTTTGGGTTATACTGCTTTATAATCAATACTTGTCAATATAAAGGGGGGGGAAACCCCCAGGTCTTCCTCTCTTCTCTTAATACGTTTTGTTGTGGAGTACTAAGTGTAAAGTTGATGACTGTTTTAAAGCATGTACTGTAGCCATTTAGCTGAAGCAGTGTGAAGCTTTTTGTGAAGGAACTCCAAGAAATCTCAGAATTCCAGCAGCTAGAAGTGATGAACAGAATCCTGATCAGCTGGGAAGCAATCAGGCACAGCACTTGGAATCCATTATAGATGTCATTAGAGCAACGAAGTAATCAGTGCCAGTATCTTGGTATTTAGCTGCTGATTGAAAGTAGTTTGTACTCTGAATATTATTTTCAGAAGTTTTTCTTGATTACATAATCAAGAATAGGATATCTATTCCTGGTAACGCTAATATTGTGGTACATAAGCAAGAATTTTAAGCAATACCTTATAGTGCAACTGCGTTACTGAAAATAATTTCTATAAAGGTGATGCTTACACTTAGATACACCATGATAATGAAAGACTTACTTCTGAAGACATTTGTGGGCATTAAGTCAGCATACCATAACTTAGTATGGCAAAAATGGTAACCTGCAAAATATTGTTGATTGGATAATGTGTTTGTTTCACTGCATTTTTCTAAAACTCTGGAATTTTATTTTTAGAAGTATTTGTTCCTCATATCAGGTTGGAACCTTCTGTTTCAGTTGATGACAACTTCCCATATTGTTCCATTAACCAATACCCTTTGAGGCCAACAGTCCAGACAGTTTTTCACCCATCTAGTTCTCCACTCATCTAGACTGCAACATGAGAGCTCCACAACCTTTTGATGATTTATAGAGAGGTGCCTCACGGTGACAGCAGCCAGCTCACTCGGTACTTTTGGATGTATCCCATTAGGTCGTACAGACTTGCTCGGGTTGAAATTTTTCAGGACATACTTGAATGAATCCTGTTCCACTACTGATATTTCTTCTGCTCCTTCAACTCTGGGAGAACATTTCAGTGAAGACAGGCAAAAGCAACACTGAGTAGCTGTTACTTGTCACCACCTCACTCAGCAGTGGGCCTGTGTTTTCTTTGTTTGTTATTTTATTGCTATAGTAGTAGTAGAAGCTTTTGCTGCCTATTATGCCCTTGTTAGTTTCATCCCTCAGAGAGCTTTGGTTTTCCTGACACCAGCCCCACAAGCCCAGGTACTTTTTCAATATTCTT